AATAGAACTCAAACCCCCTTTTTCTACTTCTGGTTATTTTGTTGTAAAAGGTTATATACATCAACAGAATGCCTGTTGCATTTACCCACACATGCACACACTGGTTTGACTGCTCGTAAGGAGTCTGTACAAGATCCCAGGAATGCATCGGCTTTTACCTAGGGCAAGAGAGGAACCCTGTAAAAAGCACAACAAAAACAACCTCACAGTTTCCATTCATGCATAAACTCTAATGCCTGTAAACTACAGCTTTCGATCAGGAAGGTCTCTGAAAGAAACCTGGGATCCAATCTGATATCCTGGCACACACGTTCCATATCCCCAGAGTAGGGGAACTACGCCACATAGGAGCAGGGATATCAAACCCAAGTTACGCTTCTCCAGCACCATTCAGTGCTTACGTTTTTAAGAACAGTATGCCAATTTCAAGAAGCAAGAAAAAAAATCCACTTGTGTCTCAACTAGTGCAACAAAAAAACCTTGGACATTAATGTTTTATAAGAACTAATCTAAACTGCATCTAAAACAACCTGCTGTCCACCCGACTTAAAAGGGACCTATTCTTATTTTATTGGTATATTGTGGTCTTTTTTGTGAAAAATAAAACTCATTTTGACAGATTGTTTCACCCGGTTTCTATCAATAATTATCATGCAAAAAGAAATTCGCAGAAAAATTGCAGAGACCGGAAGTGACGTACATGTAGGGGTCTTTGGGCTTTGTTGATATGCATTGCAAGCATTGCATGCATGCAAGATGTGTGAAGTACTTTACAAATAATAAGCTGCTATTTTGATCTACACAGTCTCCATCTATAGATGCCCTGGTAAGAAAAATATTGCAGATCATTTTGTGTAAAAATGATTGATTTTAAAGATTTCGTGACAATATAGTTATTGTGAGTTGGGGAATATCGCCCACCCCTACTGGGTGGTATCTCTGACTGCCATCCCCCCGACCCAGAAATGGATTAAGGGGAAGAAAATGGATGGATGGATGGAACGTTGTATACGGACATTTTAAACAGATATTTGTTCAATACAAGTCAGGGGTTTTTATTTATGAGCCCTTGCGTACTTGTTATGACAGTAATTCTGATTTTGAGGACTCTGACTTGGTTCAGATGAGGAGCAATCTTCAAGAACTCAACATTTGCAAACATTAGAGCCGTTTCTACGGACTGGACTCATAGATCTATGGTCCGGGTCCGACCCGTCTCGACCCGGTTTGCGGATGCGGTCAGTTTGAGCTCGATGGTGCCACCTGAGTGAGTGTAAATAAGTGTTTGCGAAGGTAGCGCTAGGGACGAAGGAATGGATATCACGGACATCGTAGTGCAGAGAAAGGTTAAGAAGCGTAAAAGTGACTACCGTGAAATGAAAGATCCCAGCCGTAAAAGTGGACAGAACTGAAAAGTCTGGAGGTGGTTTGACAAGATGGATCATTTTTACAGCTTATTTTTATCAGCTAACACGCTAACACCAGCTAACACGTCAATACCTACAACACCGAGAGAGAAGCCTCAACTCTATGTCCCAGCTCCAGATGTTGAGTTTGAGAGAAATGGCGAGTGTCTTCAATCAAATGCAAACATATAAGGTCTTTTTCTGTGGTTCTTAAGTCATATACTAAACGTGTGTCTGTGGTTCTAAAGTCTAAAATATGATGTATGTGTCATATCTATATCTTTTACTAAACATAGTTAGAGTGAAATATGGATTCATGGTTCAATGACAGTTGTTGTGTTTTCTGGTGAATACTGGGTTGAAACTTGGTTTTAGTTGGAGCTTGATAGAACTAATTTCATGGAACTCGTGCTGGTGTCTTCTCTCAGTTTGTTTGGATCGTCGCCTTCTCTGAATAAGTCAAAGATCGTAGAGACTGCTGTTTACACTCTTCTTTTGGTAATTTTTATTGCTGCATCCCGGGGCCATACAAAATACACCGATTTTAAGGTTTATTTGTGTCAAAGTGGCAGCAGGAGCAATGCCATAAACAGTGAGGCGGGAGCTGCGACCCCTACAAGTACGTCATAATTTTTCTGGCCAATCAGAGGCGTTGATTTTACTGATTTATTACTTATCTATAACACAAAAACACATTGCAAAGGTGGGAAATACATGTTTTTAATGTGTTTTATCAGAAAAAAATAGTTTTTAATAAGGATAGCCCCCTTTAAACTAGCCTTGTAGGCTATGGAGATACAAGCAGCAGGTACTAGTGGCTTCAGTTATGACACAATATTTGTAGCTTTTACACTAAAGCAAAATATAGTCTTAAAATCGATGACTGTAAATATTAACGGACGTAGTGACGCCTACCTCCGCTGTTGAAACTAATGTGCCATCACTTTTTCCTTCTATGGGGCTTTTTCAAAATAGCTGCGGAGCAGGATAATGAGAAAAAAATGTGTTAGTCGGCACCATCCCTATTCATTTAACGAGAGCATTCTGAAGTCCACAGTGGCTAAACTAAGCTGGTCCTAAAAAAAAAACAAAAAACTCCCCTCAGGATTTGCACACATCTGGAACCAGTGACGTGCAGTCAGATGAGGCCCGGCCTCACCTACGATCATGGAAAGAAAACAGAATAAAAAGGAAACAATAATAGTGGGCGACAGTGGCTCAGTTGGTAGAGCATTGGCCTTTGAGCCTGAAGGTCGTGGGTTCGAGCCCACCATAAGACCAACTTCACGACTCCCACTGATGACTGCTGCCATTGTGTCCTTGGGCAAGACACGTAACCCCACTTTACCCGAAGCCCCTGCTGAAAGATCAAGGCTCCTGTGGACTCACCACCTGCAAAAGGATCAGTGAGGAGCTGGTGCTCTGTGTACTGGTGCGCAGCTCTGACTGCCAACCCCCCAACCCAGAAATAGATAAAGAGGAAGAAGATTGATGGATGGAAACAATAATACTTGGTCACAATATCAAAAAATGTGTGCTACTGTATTTTTTCAATGTAACTTTGCCTTATTTCATTTATTTTTCCTTGAAATTGCAGATTTTTGTCATATTCTTCTCATATTTGACAGAGCGGGACGCTGTGAGGCATATATGGGTATTTATCGCGCTCAACCACGGCTTGTAATGTCACCAAGTGAGGCCAGCCTCAGGGAAGGGGGCACTGTTGAGCCCAGAATTTGGCTACATCCAATTCCATCAGAAAGCTCCTTTCTTGTTCTTCATCTGCTAGGAGCAGCTACAGGTTTGGATAACATAAATACAACACATTTTAAGATCATTTATAATGCACTTAGGGTAATGTTATTGCAATGACGATAGAATGATCAGAAAGAGGTGAGGGTTAAGAAAATTGGATGCACCCGAGATTCGGCTGCAGCTAGCGAAACACAAGAGGAGTTTATGGAGGAGACACCAGTTTTGTTTAAATTTTAAAACTTATTGAGCTTATTTCCAAATGGAGAATTAAGGCGCGTTCAGACCAAAAGCTTCAAAAAGCTTTTGACGCGCTTCAACTGACGCCAGGATAGTTTTGTCATTTTGGTGCTTGAAGCTTTTGACGCGAGTGACGCGCCTGACGCCGGTGGGAGGAGCTTCTCTGTTGTCTGTAGTCAGGACAGCGGTGGATTTTTCAATGAGCAGCGAGCCTTTATTTGTTATATAAAGCAAAATAATGTTGTTGTAGGGCTTCAACAAAACATGTTCTGGGTTCACCACAGACTTGAGAGGCTGCAGTGTTTGCAGAGTTCCGTCATTTACTCCAGGAGCTGCGTACGGAGGAGTTTCGCTTTCAGCGGTACTTCCGCATGTCACTTGCCCAGTCTGAGTTCTCAAACGGCCCGGCCTCTCGCCTCTCCCTGCCTCTCCCCGGCTCCGTCGCTCTCCCTTGCCTCTCCCCGGCTCTCGCTCGCCTCTCCCTGCCTCTCCCCGGCTCTCGCTCGCCTCTCCCTGCTCTCCCTGCCTCTCCCTCGCCTCTCCCTGCCTCTCCTCGCCTCTCCCTGCCTCTCCCTCGCCTCTCCCTCGCCTCTCCCTCGCCTCTCGCCTCTCCTGCCTCTCCCCGGCTCTCGCTCGCCTCTCCCTGCCTCTCCCCGGCTCTCGCTCGCCTCTCCCTGCCTCTCCCGCGCTCTCGCCCGCCCGGCTCTGCTCTGAGCCAGGACCCCATCGTCAGCCTGTTCTTTATATTAAATAAACTACGTTTACTACACAGCATGTGTACAATGAATTTTTGTTACTCCCAGAATGTTACTACTCATACAAATTAATAATAATAATAACAATAATGACAATAAAAACAGCAGAAGCAGATACATGACCTTCTCACTCCATGACAGAGACGGGACCCTCTGCAGCTGCTGCTGCCTGCTTGCTGCTCCTCGTCTCCTGATTGGTTGAAGGCCCGCCGTTCAAAGCTTCAAAAGCTCAGCTTTGCTCAACTTCGGCGTCAAGGATTGTTGTGATACACGAGCGTTTTCGGGCGTCAAAAGCTTCAAGTGAGCGCGTAGTACGCGCGAAACTCTTGAAGCTTTTGACGCGCGTCAAGTGACGCGGGAGCTCTCGGCTTCACCTGACGCGCTTCACCATCACCTTTCAATGGAAACCGTCTGACGCTTTTGACGCCGAAAGTTAAGTCCGGGTGTGAACGCCCCTTTACATATCTACGCTCAAACTATTATCTGGACTTAAACATGAAAAAGATAAGGCCAATAAAACACTTTGAAATGGCTTTTTACATACTTTTGCGTCTCGTATGAGCAAACAATGCAGACATGAAACATATTCTGCTGTTCCCAAACAAATTGTGAATAAGCCACTATGTAGGTCCTGTTGATTTATATGATATATATATACAGTATACTGATCGGGGTGATGTCAGTGCATCACTAATCACCAACTTCATCGCACGTCACTGTCTGGAACGTAGCATTGGAAAGAAGACGGCATACAAAAGCATTAAGTAATCATTATTCTGGGTCCACCCCCACCGGGAGTGTTCCCCTTGAGGCCCCCAGTAAGTAGCATCATATCATGTTTACTTACTTCTCTGACAGTGCTCCTGTGACCAGCATCGACCCCGAAAATGCCCGTTGATGGTGTTCAGAGGGCAGATGGTCTGGCCCTGCGCTGTCCCAGGACATACATCTCCACACTCCCTCTCGTTTTTGTTCGCCACAATGTAGTTGTCTTCCATTGAGTCCAGGATCTTGGACCAGTCAAGGGTTGCCAGATAGCAGAGGTCATCATTCTTTTCAATTCTTACTGCTCCTCTGGTGATGTTCATAAGACTGTGCAAACCCAGTTCTCTCATCTGTAGCATCTCGTATACCACCAACGCGTAGTTGAAGAAGAGCTTGTTTCCGCGGATCACAGTCAAGTTTGGGAAGAGTTGTGCAAGAGTCTCCAGCCCGTAGACTCTGAAGAGCAACACGTACTCGGTCACCACTCTGAGTTTCGGGTAACTGAGGCCTCGAAAGTCTTCAGTCTTTGTTTTAAACATGAGTAGAATCTGTAGGTAGCCTTCGATGATTGTGCAGTTTTCCAGCATCTGCAGGTTGGTCACATTATTCCGGATGTCTTTACTCTGGCAGACTGAAAAACAGAACGTCAAAATGTTAATAACTTCAAAAAGATGCATAGAAATACTTGTTATATAACAATTTGTTGCATAATCCTGTCATTCACACAATAATTGGTTTCAATGGTGGTTTCAACAGCAAAGTGACAGATATTCTGCAGCTGTGGTCTTTCCATCACCATCAAAAATGATGATGGAATATAGTGGTTTTGAAGTATTCTCAACACACAAATGAAGCTAAAGTGAAGGTTCCCTATCCCACCTGCCAAACTTGATTTCTCCCACTACTACTCTAGTAGTACCAGAATTTGCCTTAGTCTGAGTTTACACGGAGACAATGTGGCAGTAAAACGGTATAGTTGGATGGTCGGTTGCTACCAACGTTCATACGGAGACTGTGTTCCAGGGGGTGAAAACCGCAAGTGTTCAGGATCCCAGCCTGAGAGTGGGACAATCAGAAACGCTGCACAGCGGGGGCCCTCTTTCACACCCTGGAGGGGCAACAGGTGTGAAATACCCCTCTGCTCTGGACCCCCCCTCCTCCGCTGCTCCCCGCACGGAAAATTTGGATCATGCGCCCGTAGCGGAGAACAAACAAAAACAAACATTGGCGCAGCGCGCACTAACTTGCTTCGTGGGCTTCCAGCGCTACACAGAGGATATTAATCCTTCGTTCGTCCAAACAAGACCACGCATATCTCTAGTTCCGTTTCCATGTTCACAGCGCTGATAAAATGCAGAATGATGTTGTACTTTCTGAGGGTCTGCACATGATGTGAGAATCCTGCCAAGGGGGGGGGGGGGGGAGGCGGGAGGGCGGTGGGGGTGGGGCTGGGCACGGGGCTCTCGGTCCCACTTCAACCTCATGTGAACGCTGAGAAATTTGCATTAGGAGCCTGGTCGTTTCTGTTAATAGCCTGGTAAACGTCTGCGCAGCGTCTCAGTATAAACAGGCCCTTACGGGGAATTTACACAGTAGGCGTAAACAGCGCGTATCCGTTTACTGCGCGCTCTCTGCGCGGAACATTTTTTTGGAGTATCTACACAGGCCGTGCGCGCAGGTCCGCGTCTTCTGATGCTCTCCCTGTGTGTGTCTATGGAGCAGTGTAGAGCAGTGGTTCTCTAAGTGGGGTCCTCGGACCCCCAGGGGTCCGTGGCCCGATATCAGGGGGTCCGTGAAAAGGGTTGGCTATTAATAAGAAAACTATATTTTATATTATTTTATTTTATATTAATTATTAATAATATTTACACGATTTTATATAACCGTGTGAATATTCACAAATCAACACTAAGTTTAATCTGCTATTTTTATATGAAATATAAATAAATAAAAAATAGATCCACGTAAATCACGTCCACTTATCAGTGACGAGCTTTGACGCGCGCAGGTTCTGCCTAGCTACTCAGCCATGGATGCGTTTTTAACACCGTCAACTTCATCTAATGGGGAAAAGGAAAAAAGTAAATTGTCTAAAGTTAAACAAAGAAAATACAGTGAGGACTACATCCAATTCGGATTTATTGAAAACAAGGATGGACGACCAAAATGCGCTTTGTGTCTGCAAGTGCTTGCTAATGAGGCGATGAAGCCTGCGAAGCTAAAGCGACACCTCATCACAAAGCACCCGGAGTTTAAAAACAAATCTAAGGACTTTTTCAAACGCAAAGCAGAAGAATATGGACACCAGAAAAAACGAATGGTGGAGTTAACTTCAGTTTCAGAAAAAGCGCAGATGGCCTCTTATCTGGTGGCTCAACGCATTGCTAAATGTAAGAAGCCTCACACCATTGGACAACAACTTTTACTCCCAGCCGCAGTGGACATGTGTGAAGTCATACTTGGCGCAGAGGCTGTAAATAAGCTAAAAGTGATTCCACTTTCAAATGACACCGTAAGAAGGCGAATACAGGAGCTGGCTGCAGACATCGAAGCACAGCTGCTGGACAGACTGCGTTCATGTGAGCAGTTTTCAATTCAGCTGGACGAATCTACGGATATAGCTAATGCCGCTCAGTTAATTGTGTTGGTGCGATATCCATGGGAAGATGATATTGTGGAGGATTTCTTGTTTTGCAAAGAGCTACCTGGGAGAACAACGGGCGAGGAGGTATTCAGACTTGTAGACGCTTTCATGACAGATGCGAGTCTGAGCTGGGACAGGTGTGTGGCTGTTTGCACGGATGGTGCAGCCGCTATGACAGGGCGGAAAAGTGGACTTGTTGCGCGCGTTAAGTCCGTCAACCCAAACATCATAGCGACGCACTGCATGTTACATCGACAGGCCTTGGCAGCAAAAGACATGGACCCGGATCTCCACTCTGTTTTAAATACTGCTGTTTCTGCTGTAAACTTTGTGAAGTCAAGAGCGCTGCAGTCCCGTTTGTTTGGACAACTTTGCCGGGACATGGATGCTGAGCATGACGCGCTGCTTTATCACTCGGAAGTGCGCTGGCTCTCTCGTGGTAAAGTTTTGCAGCGGGTCTTTGAGTTGCGCAAAGAAATGGGAGAGTTTTTAAGAGAGCAAAAACCCGACCTCGCAGAGATTTTCACTAATCCAGAGAGTGTATGTAAATTGGCATATCTTTCGGATATTTTTAATACATTGAATGGCCTGAATCTCTCCATCCAAGGAGCGCATACATCAATACTTCAGGTTAGTGACAAAATCTCAGCCTTCATGAAGAAAACGGACCTCTGGGCACGGAGGATACAAGACGGAATAACGGACATGTTTCCCCAACTGAGTGACTTTCTTCATGCTGAGAAACTGTCTGTGAATGTTGTACAGGCTGTCGCTACTTCACATTTAACGTCACTGTGCCAGCACTTCCGCTTCTACTTTTCTGAAGTGAACACTGATGCCTGGGACTGGGTGCGCGACCCCTTTGCACCTGGATCACCCAATAGCCTCACAGGTGAGGCAGAAGAGCAACTGCTGGAAGTATCATGTGACAGGACACTGAGAGCCAGATTCCTACAGGTCAGTACTGTTAACTTTTGGCTGTCTCTCAAACAAGACTATCCAGAACTGACAACTAAAGCTTTACAAATATTGCTCCCCTTCCCAACCACGTACCTATGCGAGTCCTCCTTTTCCACTTTGACTGCAATGAAAAATAAATACAGGGCACGTTTGCATGTAGAAGACGATCTGAGAGTTTGTCTGTCTTCCATTGCTCCAAGAATAAGGAGACTGTGTAGTCAGAAGCAGGCACATCCATCTCATTGATTTTATTCGTTTTTTGATAATATTGGACTTGTTCGAGTCAGAGAAATGTTTGAGGTGTGGAGGCAATGTTGCAACATAGCACCTTTTACTGATGTTGTTTTTGTTGTTGTTGACAAAATATTCAGTTGGCAGCAGTCTTTTTTGGGGGTAGTTGACCCAGTTTGTCTGTTTTGAAGAGGCATGCAATGTTTAATTTTCTTGTTGTGGAAACTTTAGCATAGCTGAAAAGAAGCAAATGTACTTGGTGTTCAAATATTTGAATAAAAATTGCACTTTCGTCTGATTTAAATTTATTTACTTTTTGCTTTCCTCAAAAAATGCGTTAGGGGGTCCTTGAAAATTTTGCTCATCTAAAAGGGGTCCCTGAGTCCAAAAAGTTTGAGAACCCCTGGTGTAGAGGACAGTACAGGCCAGAGGACTGATGTAGAGCAACACAAATCACATGCATGTGTTTGTCCTCATGGTCTCTGTGCTGGTTTAGCCAGACGTGAGACTTTATGAAAGAAAAAAAAACGATGTCCAGAATCACTGTAAAACCTGCTGCTCCTCCTGCTGATGTTTAGATCAGTGTTTTTCAACCACTGTGCCGCGGCACACTAGTGTGCCGTATGATATTGTCTGGTGTGCCGTGAGAAATTCGTCTACTTTGTCTAAAAATAACTGCATTCGCTGTTGACGAGCGGTGACTTGTTTTGAACTGTGGAGTAACCATGTAATACTTTTTCAAATCAGTAGATGGCAGCAGATAGCTAAGTACTGTGAAACTGAAAAATTGGATGCGACCACAGGCTGTAACAGGTCAGCATTGTGGCGAGAAAGGTAAAATTGGATGCGACCAACAAATGTGGGAGGGAGCGAGACAAGAGCTTTGTGGCGAGTGAGAAGTGAAAGTGATAGAGACGTTTTTGAAAATGAATTATGCCGTTTCTGAACAGGATTAACATCCTCCGCTCTGCCCCGGGGCAGCTGTGGCCGCGTTGTAGTGGTTTAACTATGAAATGTACAATTTTTGTACAACAGCTCTCGCGAACGCACTTCTGAACTGGGTACCGAGCGCAGACCATAGTCGAGTGGACAGAACCACAGACATGCGGACCGGACAGAACCATGGACTCGCGTTCAGGACCTCCCGTGTCCCTCATCCAAAACTCCTGAATTTAAAGCTCGGTATCCTAAATTTTTTCCATGCACTAACAATGCATGTTCTTTGTGTGAGTTATTATTTGACTATTTGGGCAGAGAGTGGATTTTCTTAGTTTTTTTCCACACAGTTAGTGCCACTTTATTCCCAAACTCTTGTTAATTGTATCGAGAAATATTAAATAAAGCTTAATGTCAAGGCCAGGACTTAAGCATTTTGATGAGAATAACTGTATATTGTGAATATAGGCTACAGAGTATACTGTATACATTATCAGATAAGATAAGATATACTTTATATATCACACAGAGTATGTACAGTATATATTTTTACATTAGTACTGTATACATTTTTACATTTTCTCCTGGAGGTGTGCCGCAAGATTTTTTCAGTGAAAAAAGTGTGCCTTGGCTCAAAAAAGGTTGAAAAACACTGGTTTAGATACAAGTGCTGTGTGTGCGTATACTGCGATCTAGAGCCAAGGACCGCTAGAAAAATCATGTTTTACATGAGATTTCAATAGGAGACGCGTTGGTGCGCGCACAAAATTAGAAATCCATCCTAAATTAGAGCGCAGCTTCGCGTCATACGTCCATCATACGCGCGTATAACGCTAGAAGTGTAAATATCATCATAGGTT